GACGATTCCCTCGACAGACTGCGGCGAGCCAAGTATTTTTCATCGATAGACTTGAAAAGTGGCTACTGGCAGATCGAAGTTGATGAACGAGATCGTGAAAAAACCGCCTTCGTTACACCGGATGGCCTATATGAATTCAAAGTGCTTCCCTTCGGCCTCTGTTCTGCACCTGCGACATTCCAGAGAATGATGGACACTGTTCTTACCGGTCTAAAGTGGCACACGTGCTTAGTTTACCTCGATGATGTTGTCGTGTTTTCTTCCACCTTTGAGGAGCACCTGAACCGTCTGCAGACTGTGCTGGAAGCGCTCCGCTCTGCTAACCTGACACTGAAGCCAGAAAAATGCCATTTCGGTTACAAGGAACTTAAGTTTCTCGGCCATGTTGTCAGTGCGGATGGTATTCGACCAGACCCTGACAAAAGTACTGCCGTGGCCTCGTTTCCTGTTCCACGTGATAAGAAGGCAGTGCGTCGCTTTCTGGGGCTCTGCGCGTACTACCGCCGCTTTATAGCCAATTTTTCTAGGATTGCTGAACCACTCACTCGACTCACTCGTGAAGATGTTCCATTCGTCTGGGAGGAAGAACAGGACGCAGCTTTCTCTGAACTACAGGAGCGTTTGCAGACACCACCAGTCCTCGCTCACTTTGACCAAGACGCTGATACTGAAATTCATACTGACGCCAGCAATGTGGGTCTTGGTGCTGTCCTCGTACAACAACAAGAGGGCACAGAGCGAGTGATAGCGTACGCTAGCCGCACTCTTTCCCGCGCCGAGGTCAACTACTCCACGTCAGAGAAAGAGTGCCTCGCTGTTGTATGGGCCACTATGAAATTTAGGCCTTACCTTTACGGACGCCACTTCAAGGTAGTGACCGACCATCATTCGTTGTGCTGGTTAGCCAACCTACGGGACCCGTGTGGGCGACTGGCACGATGGAGTCTTCGTCTGCAGGAATACGATTTCACGATCGCTTACAAATCGGGCCGCAAGAACGAAGATGCTGATTCATTATCCCGTGCACCTGTCGAAGCTTGTGGCCACGACACCGAGGATGACGATCGTTTCCTTGGGGCCCTTACTACAACAGATCTGATTACGCGACAGCGTGCGGACGATGAAATTCGCGCAGTTATCGAAAACCTTGAAGGACGCAACTCGTCCATACCTCGATGTATTTCTCGAAGTCTGTCATCGTTCTGTCTGCGAGATGGGGTCCTGTATAAGAAAAACTCCAACGGCAATGAGAGAACCTATCTTCTAGTCGTGCCAACAGACATGCGTGACGACATTCTTCTTGCCTGCCACGATGAGCCCACATCTGGTCACTTAGGTTCCTCTCGAACTCTCGCTCGAGTTCGACAAGCATACTACTGGCCTAAGCTTTCTGCATCAGTTAAGCGATACGTGAAAAGCTGCCGGGAGTGTCAACGCCGGAAATCCCCGCCACTAAAGCCCGCGGGGCTTCTTCAACCAATAGAACCACCCAGAGCGCCATTTGATCAAATAAGAATGGATTTACTGGGGCCTTTTCCACTATCATCTACCGGCAACAAGTGGATCGTAGTAGCCACAGACAATTTGACGAAGTACGCCGAAACAAAGGCACTACAACGCGCTACTGCTTCCGACGTCGCCCAATTCTTTATGGACCAAATCGTTCTTCGCCATGGCGCCCCGTCGTGCGTAATCAAAGACAGAGGAACAGCATTTACGGCCCAGCTCATTCATGACGTATTCAAGCTCAGCTACACCAGCCATCGCAAGACCACGGCATATCATCCACAGAGCAACGGCTTGACAGAGCGACTCAACAAGACCATCGCTGACATGTTATCTATGTACGTAGATGTCCAGCATAAGACCTGGGACCAGGTGCTACCGTACGTCACATTCGCGTACAATACGGCCGTCCAGGAAACTACTCGATTCACGCCTTTCCGCCTTGTCTATGGACGTGAGGTCCAGACCATGCTGGATGCGATGCTTCCACACAATTGCGATGCTTTGATCACTCCTGATGCTGTACAGCTTACCCAGTACGCCGAAGAAGCACGCCAGTTAGCACGCCTACACATTACGCACCAGCAGAGTACAGACGCATGCCGCTACAACGCTCGCCATCGACAAGTTGAATACCATCCAGGTGATCAAGTTTGGGTGTGGACTCCAGTTCGATGCAAGGGATTGTCTGAAAAACTGCTAAGTCGCTACTTCGGACCATACAAAGTCTTGCGACGCGTGAGCGATGTGAACTACGAGGTAGTCCCTGACGGCGCCTTCTCACCACGACGGCGAAGGCACTCCTCAGAGATCGTCCACGTGGTGCGCCTGAAGCCGTACTTCACGCGGTAGTGCGACTGCGCATGAACCATATCGCTGTTTTTGTGTATGTGCGTATTTTTTGTTGGTTCGCCCCGACTTTGCCTTTGTACTTTCCAACATCAGAGTGATGCCTTTTTTTTTCTCAGAGGGGGAATAATGCCACTTGGCCGCTAGTTACGGCGAGCGCAAGCGATGGCTGCCCACGAGAATGGAAGACGATGTTCTGAGGCAGCGCGTGCTCTGGCCAGTTGTTTATTATTGAAGCAGCCATCTTGCCAGTTTTCGGTGCGTCTCCCTGCCGGCTCAGTTCTTCCTAGTTGAAGACCTTTTGTAGCACGTGACAATATAGATCTGTTGTATGCATTTCACATTTACGTTAGTTCATGAAAACAAATGATGTTTAACTTTTCTTTACTCTTTTTATCGTGGTTTCGGGACTTTAAACCCCACAAATCAATCAATCATTTTTTTACCATGCGAGAACGGCATTTTTTCATACTTATCGAGGATATTTTATTTTCCAGTTTTAAGAGTACTTCAGGAAGCATTGCAGCATACAAAATTTTGCAAAATGTATTGCTCTTTCCTGGAATTACATCCTGCAGAGCACCGAAAAAATTGTAGAATGAATAGAAATGTTAAATATGTGTAATTTCTTGTCGTCAGCTAGTACACAGTACAACAAAAACACTATAAAGGCTTAAATTATTCAAGAGAAAGAAAATTATGAATATACATTTTGGATATAAATGACCTAGGGACAGTGTAAACAGTAATAAATGTTGTAGAAAATGTTTATATTCATATAGACGAAGAAAATAGGAACCGAGGTGCTGCTTAGCTGCCCGTGCCATGCTAAGATTCATTGTTTGGTTTTTCTCGAGACACAAGCGAACTCGTACACGTTTCTCAGTAACTGTTTGTTTTTCCCGATAAAAGCCTTCAGGTGTTCAGTTATAGATGGACACCCGTGATGTGAATAATACCTCTATAAACCAGATGCTCAATCAACTTGGCTATTTCGTCTAGCGTAGTCTCTTTCCATAAACCAACTCGCTCCACGTAGGTTGGCGTTTCTCTTTTTTATGCAAATAGATTTCTTAACATTTTGCGCATCGTTTTAAAAAACAACAATATAGCAAACATTTTGCGCTACTACGTAGTCAGGGCCAACATGTACTCTGGTGGCCTTTTCGTTTGGAAAAGCTCTGCATCATGCGACAGCGCACTCCACCCCAGCGAAGTGTGGACCTCTCACGTAACCACAGTTGCTATAAGATTGTGCAAAAATGGCAGTGGCCACGCACTTGCGGCTCTGAAAAACAATTTGAGGCCGTAAACAAAAGAAACCCATTCACGGCAGCGGATTTCTCAGGCTGACGGAAAACATCGTCGCCACAATTCTCTAAGCCGGGGTTCTGTCAATCACAGACTTGTAAGCTCGTCGTCACGTAGTTCAGGTGGCGTTGCAAGACAGTTTCGAGCGGCGCGTGTGTTTTGCAGTTCTGGTGCGTGCTCATGCGCGCGCGATGATGGTGCCATAGTAGTGACTAGTGGCACTCGATGCGACCCTGTGTCTTATATAACAGTACGGGCGAAACCAAAACTGCTGAAAACTGGTTGAGAAGGCCACCTCAATACTTTAAACAGGCGACAGACCTTCATAAATATTTTCGTGGAATAAATTATGCCTGACGCGGAGCAACAGCACTTTATTGAATAGCTGGCATAAATTTCCGGCAATTAATACTGCCCGACACAATCAAATTGCGAAGCGGACTTTTATTTTCTACATTTGGCTTTAAAAAGTTCGTTAGATTAGAGGCCTTCATGCTACTGTAGCATAATCACTATAGGGGCACACACGTTTGTCAAGTTCTCCAGCACAGTTTATTTTTTCAGCAACAAACGCACGCTGGTTCGCGGAAACGTCGTTTTAAAATCTCTATGTTGCCAAAACGGGCGAATTTTGATTGCTTATAAAAGTTAAATAGCTGGAATAACTACTAGATAGTGCTGAGTACACGAAAACCAAATTTACCATACCAAAAAAGACGAACCAAAACGTAAATCACCACTCATCGGTTTGATTAGGCGTGGTAACTTAATACTTTAAACCAAAGATTCATTGAATTTACTGGGACGATGACCATTGAAGGCAAGATGGACGACCTTTAGCGCCGCCTGGCACGAACGAGTAACCGAGTTTATACTGTTCAACGTGAGCGCCAGTTACAACGCTGCATGGTTCGATAAATAACGTGGAAAAACAGATTTATTTCACAGTAGAGCTTCTTACCGGCGGCCGACTACACTGACCGCCTCGATTTGTGTTGTGAATGGTGTATTGCTAGTACGTGGCTTTTCGTTTCGTGAGCCTGAGTTAAAGCAATAAAGACATTAACACCCCGATTGCCACATTATTCACCGTCACTCCCATGTGACCCCATATATTTATCAAGCCAACCGCTCTGCTCAAGTAGACAAGTTTCCTGTGGAAACAATGGCTCCGACAAGAATACGCAATGAATAGGTTTTCATATCGGTCCACGTACATGCACATACCTTCGTGTTTTTAGTACTGTTATTAAAAATAACTATGATGGTTCATAACTGGCCCATTGTATTATGTTTTGCGTGTGGGGTCACTTTGTCTTCTTTTTTGACTGCAGATGTTATCATGAAAAGGGACATTGTCATTGTAGGACACGGCTGGGGAGGAATGATTGCTTTCTGCTTCGCAACAATGCATGAAAAGTTAATAGAAGGACTCGTCATCATCAATGGAATGCATCCAATGGCCTTCTACAAGCAATATTACCAAAATGAAGAGCAAATAAAGAAAAGTTGGTAAGCACTGCAGCAGCTGTTCAGCTGACCCACTGCAGCTGGTCCTAACTTTAGACAGTTAAACAAAGATTAAGACGCTACTGGTCATAATAAATAATGCTAATTCCTATATATTGCACAATGTAGGCAAGTTCAGGAAGACAATATTGGTGCCACGAACGAACGAGAAGGTAGTAATAAATTAGTGATACGTTTTAATGTGTTTAATGTCAGCTACGTTTGCTTGTCGCAGGATTGAACACAGAAGAGCCTTAAAGAAAGAATGTTATGAGCTTTTTCTCTAACATTCATCGAAAGTTTTGGTATCGATGTGTGCTTCAAGGCTGTAATCAAATGGACATGGCCGCGAAAAATTCTCGTATAGATATAAGTACTTGCGTATCGCGAGTCAACGCTCTTCGCTTGTGTAACAAGCCAGAAAAATGAAGTTTGCGTAAAACACCAGATAATTATAAAGATATGCAATAATAAATAAAGCCTTAGTGAATAAATGCGCCAAGATGAGTTAAAATGAGGAAACGCTTCTGAAAACCAAGTATCGAGGAAGAGGATGTGCTCTTGTCTTTTGGATAAATAACACGTGGTGTAAAAAAGATGTGAGAAAAAATTGACGTTAATGAAATACAGTTGAACCTCAATTTAACAAAGTTACTGAGACCCACGAACTTGTTCATTGAATCAGAAACTTTGCAAAATTAAGGACGGCATTTTTAGTCGTTACCAAGCTAAAAAAATGTATCGCAAACACTCCCAACAGCTACACCATCAGTGTATTTTCCATAACCCGTCACTTGCGCAGCTAAGCTGATGCATGCCTTCACCATTTTGTGAAATTGACCAAAGCCTGCAAAGAAATGCGCAGTCTGTCATTCTGTGCAGTTCCGGTTTTACTTTCGTAACAACCGAAATGAGAATGCCTCCGCTGTGCTGATGTATCACTGCAAGCACACTGCCAAGCTTTCTATAGGCCATGATAAAAAATAATTTTTTTCTGTGCATCTTTTTTGGAACTTTTCATGAAATTAGAGTTGGCTGTGAACTTTGTTTCATGACTTTTGAGTTCGTAAAATGTTAGGCCCACGTTCAACTGTGGGGTGAATCAGAATTCATTCATTGAACTTTAAACTTGGTGTGATCTACTTCGTAAAATTAATTTTCAACAGTAGGTCGAGAGCACATGGAATTATACCTCTGTCCTGATCTGAAAATCGGCATGATTTTACCTATTTGCTACTCATTGGGCGAAGAACCATCTTTGCCGTGTTGCCAACCGCCTATAATATGGATATTTCGGGTGTTTCCAGCCGCCTATAATATGGATATTACGGACGCCGGGCGCCTGTTCTTCCTCGGTTGCTGTAGCGTAGATTATCGGTGAAGTGCAGTGCTATTGCCTTGTGCCACCGACGTATTGCATGACGGCTGGCCGTGGGAGCAGCCGCTGTGATTAAGGCCAGCCAGTACGTGCAGGAGCTAAGCCCGGTGGGTATTGGATAAAGTAATATGGAACGCTTGCGACTTTGCCTACAGAACAGGTCCATGTCCATCACCGTTTCGTATTACGCTATTTAGACTGAGACTTCACAACCCATACCCACATGACAAAAATGGGGACGCAAATAATAGGAACAAGAATCGTTATTTTGAACGGCAGTGGCCAGGCTATCCCGATAAGATGATTTAGCGCTGTTCGTAACACGCGAGGCTGCTGAGCGTGGACTCGCACATTCCTACCCATATAGATTTGAGTTTTGAATGTATTCTGTTTTCATATACCTTGATCTTCTTTAGGGCGGCTCTCCGAGGCCATGTTGGGACTCAAAGAAAAGCTTGGGCACACATGGTTTTGTTGGTTTCTGCGATGTTTCAGGCCTCCTGGACGGTTCATAAACGTCCGCGGACATCGTGCAGTAGGGAGCCGTGTAGGATTCGGTCTGCTTCTCAGTGGAAACCCAGCCTCAGGCATCACACCCGCGTCTTCCGGGTACATAACTAAAGAACGTGACCACGGCGGGGGCTTTGCGCGTGCGATGGACATGCGAATACAACAGGCTGAAGAGCAATAGTGAGGGTCGCGCAGCATAGTGGGGATGACCTTAGTGCTCAAGCCACAGCTCGTTACCCTCCCCGACATCAAGTGTCTTTTTTATCTGCTCTGCACTGTCGAGGTGCACACACGTAGCTAAGAGAAAATAGGTGCCGTTAGTCGTCTACGTGTGCCAGATGTTTTAATCAGTGCGCAACAAAATTATGTCTAGCCAGTTTTTACACAGCAAAGCCGGAATAGTCGCAATTATTGCATAGTTGACGTAGCTGAAATATGAGTGCGTAGAAGAGAGAAACAGGACGAGCACTCTTTTGGCTGTGGAATTATAAATCTGAAAAAAAAACTGTTTTCTTGATGAGTGCTATTGATGCCAGGTTTACGTATTGCTCATCTCAGCGGTCCGTTACAACTGTCTCGATCCTTTCCGCAAAAGTGCCGAGGATGTGTTTTTCTGTATCGACGTCTTTATTTTTGGCGCTAAATGGCTAGCAATGAAGGAAAATCATGTGTCTTCGAGAAAGCAAAGACACATGAGTTTATATAAATAAAGCCTGTCATGTAAGACTATGACGTTTCAGGACAAACGCCTTCCGTAAGCTAAGCTTGTCAGTTTAAAGAAGGTATATTATTATTATTATTATTATTATTATTATTATTATTATTATTATTATTATTATTATTATTATTATTATTATTATTATATTATTATTATTATTATTATTATTATTATTATTATTATTATTATTATTATTATTATTATTATTATTATTATTATTATTATTATTATTATTATTATTATTATTATTATTATTATTATTATTATTATTATTATGCAATCTAGCACCTTCCGTCTCTATACTCATATGCTCATACCATAAATCTTAAAGTTGTGCATGACGAAACCTATAAAATAATGAATGGGGACATGTATATGGCATATATTTCTATTCAGTGGATAAGCAAAATAAAATGACAGTACAATATTGACTTTATTTCTGCAAACCACGAGGTTTGACTGTTCCATCGAATGACTGAAAAAGAGTAGCCCATAGTCTGAACAAAACGCAGAACAATAAAATTTCAAATCTGGCAAGATTTCTTGCTAGCATTTGCATATTTTCTAACAGGATGAAATTGCGTGGTCCACTACAACCTCCAGCAATCGTTTCATGAAATTCAAAACGGTAGCGAAGAAGAAACGCAGTGACTTTAACACAAGGAGTACAATATAGCAGGACAAAAACTCAACATACAGTAGAGATGTGTCAAGTAACTTGAATACAAGAAGCCTTGAGGGAGGATCAGCAGGTAACATAGGCATGTTTGGCATTGTTGAATTGCTAATAGGCACTGAAGTGTTTCTTGTCAGTTTCATTAAATCAGACATTTGGCAGTACTCGCGAAATGAAATTTTTTCACCATTTACATTTGATTTCCTTCGTAAAAAGACAGTTGTACTGTATAGATGCTCAAGCATGCCAAATACTTGAACATGAAAGTGTATGTATGTAAGCGAAATGGATTCTCAAAGCTCTGCACTTTACGCAGGTTCATAGAGCCATTCAAACACGCAGATATTCCTGAGAAATACATCATGATGAATGACTTCAAGCACTTCGACAAGATGCACAAGGGATTCACCTCGGAAGAAGAAGAGGTGCACAAGTATATGTTCTCGAAAAACGGTACGTATCAGTGCTGTGTAGCGCAACTGTCCTAGACAAACACCACGTTTTCACGCTTCAAACAGGAATGCTCTCTGCCTTACCCTTCTCTCCCGGGCCGCCGCCACCACAGTGCCATAGATTTGTCACAGCGAGGCAAACTCATCGCGAGCGAGCTATCGTCCTCTCTGCTCCCTGAAGATGCCTATCTAGTCACCTTCATGTGGCAGCATTCGACCTTTGAAAGTGTTACGTTTTAAAGCAAAAACAGACTAATAACTTCCAGAACAATAATCTATGAGAGCGCCAAATTTGACCATGCGGTAGCTTCTTTAGTGCTCTTGGTCGAACAGGGCGTGTCGGGTGTTCGAAGATGACCGGAGGCCTCAGTGCAAACTTGGGAGCAAAGTCTGGCTGTATGTGGCTTCCGGTTGTGGTTGCAGGCTTAGAGTTCGGGCCAGCGACAATGGAGGAGAATGAGATATGTGTGGTAGAAAAAAAACGTGGCTACTACAGTCAGGGAGAAAAAGGGGAAGGTGGAAGCGCCTGTGTAGAAGGTCACTTTAAGTGGATCACGCATACTTTACAGCTTCAGTTGGCTTCATTTCAGAAGGCGCCAGCTTTTCAGTCGATAAATTAAGTTGAACATTAAGTTCAAACAAACCAAATAGCGCACGCATGCCATTATACTGATACGTGTAAGACCTTGGCCTAATACGAGCCCGACTCACGGCTTATCTGACCCAAGCTCATCCTGGGTTCGATCCAACAGCGCATGTCGGGTGCCGATATCGGGTATTTGTTATCGCTCGCGCGTAAAATTGCCCATGTGTGGTCTCGTCATTTCTAGCTACATACTAAGCGTCAATCACCTGTGGCACATAGCCGCATACCAGCGGCACATACCTGCCCGTAGGTATGTGCTACTGTCTGGCGGGAAGTGTAAGACGACGTACGCGACGAGATATTGGTATTCTTCATGTCTTGACCAGCGCGTCTTATTCGTCAAACCATCTTACCCACTTGTGCAAACTTTAGTTCACGCCAAGTTAAGGGGGGTAACCACGAGAACACCCAAACGTAAGCGTCTAGATAGATAGATAGATAGATAGATAGATAGATAGATAGATAGATAGATAGATAGATAGATAGATAGATAGATAGATAGATAGATAGATAGATAGATAGATAGATAGATAGATAGATAGATAGATAGATAGATAGATAGATAGATAGATAGATAGATAGATAGATAGATAGATAGATAGATAGATAGATAGATAGATAGATAGATAGATAGATAGATAGATAGATAGATAGATAGATAGATAGATAGATAGATAGATAGATAGATAGATAGATAGATAGATAGATAGATAGATAGATAGATAGATAGATAGATAGATAGATAGATAGATAGATAGATAGATAGATAGATAGATAGATACGCTCAAAGTCACCGAAGTTCCCTAAGAAATTCTTCGCATTTGGTAAAAGATAACCAGCTCCATCCATCCCCCAGGCTTGCCTCCGTCCCCCCTAGTGCAAAGCAGCTTCTTCAATTTTTTTTATGCCACATAAGTTTGAGATAGCCCAAACACCTTCACGGTCAGAAATACTTCTCTAAACATGTATACACCTATAGGATGAATCAGTATGAGCATGAACTAAAGGGACACAAGCAAGCGACGAGGTAAAGAAGACATAAGCAGGTGACAGGATGGCACAAAAAATAAACGAGAAAGACGGGCTTTAGGATGAGCGGTCATTATTAGCGCTCATGCTGTCGCCTGTCCTTCTCGTTTCTTCCTATTGCCCCTTCTTTCCCCGCAAATAATGAGTTGCGCTAAAGCATTGCAAGATTATGATAGACCAACTCATCGAAGGAGCAGTACTTGTCAAATTCTTTAAGAAATGCTCCAGGTTTAAGTTTTAGCGGTTTTCAAGACAAGAGAATACGCGGATGTCAGTGATTGTACATCTGCCGCCACAATTACCTGATCACGCTACCACCTAAAAGAGCTCAGAGGATCTATGATAAGGCCTATTCAATCGCAAAAAACCATATGTACCATGACAGAGAAGACAGAATCTACGCTTTCTTTCTTTGTGTCTTTCTTTCTTTCGTTCTTTCTTTCGTTGTTTCTTTCTGCTCCTCGTCGAACCTGAAATCTCCTAGGCTAACAAGTTCAAAAGACGGCCACTTCATACCTTGAATTTGCCAGCAAAGAGAGAAAGGGCAACAATTGGCAGTTGTGCAAATGATTGCACCGCGTTGTCAGACGAAACGCCACTGATAACATTTGTACAACTCCAGGTGTGAGCACTGAGCAGACACTCGTTTTCTTGCAAGTGCTATCATGCGATGCACTATAAACATTAGGAGCCGTTGACCTCTCGGTAGAAGAGTGCTAGAAGAATTTTTCCAAGCAAACTTGTGCGGAAACACGGCTGGCCCTAATTTCTAAATGCAAATATGCCCGAATACTGCAGTCTCTAAAGAAATCATTATTCAACTCTATTTATATGCGCCAGTGGACACATATGATTAGCTTCTGATTTTTGGCATCCTCGAAATAAAACTGATTCACAGCGCGTACCTATCAGCTGCCTAAATTTTAGAGCCCCTCCTAAACTTAATTTTGAGGACCCTGTACATGCTCGAGTGCAGATCTCCTAAACCATGCTTGTAACAACATGAATGAGTAATAAAGAACGCCAGGCTTGCGCTGAACACGAAGCACTCTCACATCGAAAACACAAGGACAGTCATTTCAGAGCGTTTTATTACCACTCTTTGAGTAACTGCTACAAGCACGTTTGCTGGATACCCACTATGCCATAAATAATCACCCCGAATACAACACAGGCAGGCGCCTTGCGCGGGTGACCGCCATTCTCAAGCGCATACACATGGAAGCGCACAACGTCTTGCTCATGGACGCCGCTGCTTATCACAACAACCGAGCCTTCGCCACGGTCGTGGTATCATCCATGCAGCAGACTCTTAACTCTGCCACAATCCTCACCTGAAACCCCGAAGTAGCGGAGCTAGTAGCTATAGCTATAGCTATGCTCGACAGCAAACGGGAACTCATCTACAGCGACTCTATACCAGCCATCAAAGCCTTCGAACGCAGAGTCATCTCCGACCAGGCGTTACGCATCTGTGCAGAGTGTACCCGAGTGCCCTGATGCACCACACTGTCATCTGGTTCCCCGCTCATCTCGGCCAGGTGCCGGGTGCCCTATCCAAGCTCAACGAGATCGCCCATGATGCAGCGCACGCACTTACCGACCGTATCACCACTGGGCAACCCCATCTTACTGAGTAAGAGACCAACCGGGATCCACCCATTACGTACAATGACATAACAAAGCACTTTTACCTCCAACACCACATTTTTCCACCCCCACATCCGAAACTTAACAGACCGCAGACATTAACCCTACGCCTATTACAGACACACACGTACCCAAACCTTGCCACGCCTCACATTTCTTATCCTAATGCATACCCCAGCGACACATGCCCATCATGTGGACACACTTCGACACTCACACACATGCTCTGGGAGTGTAGAACAACTCCTCCCGACTCTACCTCAAGCAAGTGGGAGAGGTCCCTCAGGAGCTCACTTCTCGCCGATCAGCAAAGAGCAATCCAGCAGGCCCACGAAGCGGCGGCCACGTACTCCCCGTCGGTTCCCATGTGGGAGACGCCAGCTACGCGCGAAGCGCGTCCTGCAGGACTGAAATAATGTTTTTTTTTTCATTCCATTCCATCATTTTTTGGAGAAGTGCGGTATCCGCTACACACTTGCTAGAAATATTGTGAAATATTTCTATGCAGTGGCTGATGACGATAAAGAATTACACCTGGAGTGGGTATGCGCTACAGTTCATAGGCGAAGAGGAACAAGCTTTTGTAATGGTTGGATTGTTGGACAACTCACTCTTTGCACTGTTCGCATTGTGTGATGCCTGGTTGTTCCTTTTAAGTTCTTGAACGCTTTGTTACTCATAATAACGCCATTTGTGTCCCGGCATCACGCCTGCCTACGGCCAGTTCTGAAATGAGTTTCAAGTGCCAGCGTGGCCCAGTGGTTGAATACTGGGCTAGAACGCAGCGCACCCGGGTTTAAGTCCCATACCATTTTTCCCTTGGTGTTTTAATTTTTTTTATTTTTTGCGATATCTGGCAAGGAAACCAGCGGCTGCGGCGGTCAACTACGGCGCTGCACGTGTATGTGTTTTGATTTCATAACAGCTGTCGCTGTAATGTATTAGCACCTATAGTAATCAGTATGAAATAATATCATCAGTGTGTTTGACTAATGCCAGAAGCCTCCTACAAAAGTTTACGTCACATTTCCCCACAAATCTCTTACGTGAGTGATTTTTCAACGAAACATCCTGAGGTACATCCGGCGAAGTTCGGGTTTTCGCTATATAAGTGATATTTTGATGGTGAAATATACAAGTAGTGATGGCTCAAATACAGCTTTCAAAGCGCGTGTTGGTGTAATGAATATGCAAGGTGAAATATAAATATTGTTGAATATATTTACTCAAGAAACCGCTTCGTAGTGCCTACATCGGTTACATCAGCAATGCTACTAGCTAGGCGGTAGCAATTACACCATAGAAGAATCTTTATACAGTTGTAATTGTGAGTGTTCAAGGATATGTTATTGACCGACTTTCTATACCATCCGTTTCACTTCGTAGGCTCCCTGACTGCAGCACTGAACTACTACCGAGCCTTTCTGGGTGATAAAGACCAGCTGAAAAAACTGCCCTACCGCAAGATTAATGTCACCACAGTTATCCTTTGGGCCGAGAAAGACCAATTTCTCACGAAGCCCATAGCAAAGTACAACCAAGAATGGCTTAAAAATTCAAAGATAGTGTACTACACGAAGGCCGACCATTGGGTGATGCGACAATGCCCCGACGAGGTGAACGAGCACATCAGTAACTTCGCAATGGACGAATGGCAGGATGTAGTAGTGCAGGAGAGAAGTCTTAGTCTTAGTAAACATCCTTGGGAAGCGCGTCCAAAGAACGGTCCGTGTTCAGTGTTTATGGAGGGGGTCAAAAAGCGAAGGCGGCATTCGTATGGCTTCCTTCCAATGTTTGGATTCATTCCTGAATTCTTATAGGTATTAAGCCGTGTGACTATTTCCGCCTGCTGTGTTGCTTTCAATTACTGAAATAAAGATTTCTTGACTTGGTTATTCGGCTCGTTTTTCACGGTACACTCCACACAGAAGGAAGGCACTGTTGACGTGAACACACACGGAAGCACTATCAAACGTTCAAAAAAAAAGTGGTCACGGTACAAAATACCAACATAATGGCTTATGATACAAACCAAGAGCAAACCATATTTCTTATAAACTAAATACTCTTTTTGCGCCTGTTTCTCAAGGAAACTGCTTAGGTTTTTGCAATACAGCACATGCCCTATGCTTCTTCTAGAGTGCTGTATGTTACGAAGCAATTTATATATTTCCATTAGCGTGTTAAAAAAGCGAAATAAATACTTCTTTTAAACAGCGGAGCTTTCCTTTAGTCCGTGCAAAGAGAACAGAAAACTATCAATATTATAAAATTACCCGCCTTCGTTGGCGTCCTATTTCTGTTCCTCAAGTTCTTCTTTTGATTTGGCCTCGGAGTAAGGCAGCCGATTATTCTTCTACGGGATGTATAGCTTTCATGGGTGAGAGCACGAGAAATGAGTAGATAGAACTAAAAGAAGAAAAACAGAGATAATGAAGGAAAGAAATAGAAAAGAAGATCCATAAAAAGAGAAACAGAAAGAACAAGATGCAGCCTATATACAGAAACATAGAAGACGCAAAACAAAGATAAAAAAAGAGACCAAGGTAGAAAAAAAAGGATAAGAAGAAATTTATTCGAAAATTGAAAGAAAAGAAACAGAAGTTACAAGTCCCAAAAGGAAAGATACAAAAAAGAGAAAACAAGATTGCAAAAAAGACAAAAAATACAGGAAGAAGACAAGGACAAAACAAAAGCAATCAAGGTACTGCCTGTCGTTTTAAAATGAATACGTTCCAGCTAGTTCAGCTCTTGCCAATTCCGCACCACCCTATTTCGCAATTTCTCGATGCTTGTCACCGCTAGTGCGAAGATGCCCTAATATTTTTCGCGTGGTCTAAAGCACCAGACAATCCATCATAATTGTCAAAAAGGAGCAAAACTGCTTTACTGTGCGTTTCTCGAAATTTCTACCACTGGTGACGAATTCAAAGTGGTAGTGAAGTTTAAGATTGCACTTGACTGTGTATATGGTTTAAAAGCAATGCTCGTAGGTGAGTCTCCATGAACAAGCGCGACAAACATGTGCTGTTGTGCAGTAGGGACTGCTTTCTGGAGGACTGCTTTCTATAAAGCAGGTCATAACACGGCGCTGGTTTCACGAGGAAAGCGAATAGTGGCCTTACCTTCAATGGAGAAGTACCACGTTATCGGAATCGCAGCTCTAAAGTGATTGAGTAGGAAGTGACTGAAAGCGTAGCCTCTGTGATCAGCTGCGACGGCGTGCCACCGGAGCGCATTGCGGGAGCCACGCCAACTAAATACGGTAAATTTAGCCAGGAGTGCTATACGAAGTACGCAGGTAACAAGGTTTCGCTACTTGAGCCGCGATACGTCGACCACGACGCGCAGCACGCGCGACTCCTTAGAAAGAATTAACAGGTAACGTATGCAGGCAGAACTCTCGAAAACGTCATGTCGTATTGTGCTCTGCCTAATAAATAGAACGCGGGGACGCCGACCATGCTAAACACATTGAATTCATGTGCATTGAGCGTTTCTGTCGAGTTTTTTAGCACACGTTCATACCACGCTGTTGATATCAGCACAGCTCCATGGCTATTGGCGACGTTTAGAACGTTCTCTCGAGTGTCGTTATAAGTGCTGTCAGAATAAGCGACTTGAATTTTCACAGATAATGATGAAATGCTGCACACAATTCATGAGTTCGGAGGACACTTGTGTACGTCCTCTGATTGGGAGGAATACAATATAATATGCTTTGTGCATGGTTTGCTCCTGTGGCGCTCCTGAACTAAATTTGTAGTTTCCTTCTCGAACTCTTCTTAGAAAGTGGGCTGCACTCTCCCGGTGGGTCGGGATGAGGAAGACCGCTAGAGCACAGTGAGGCGGATGGAGTATCAACAACATATAAGGTACTGCTGCCATTGTAGGAAGTGCATCTGGGATATCTGCTGCAGTTGGTTCGTTTTGAAGGGGATTCTGCGTAAGAATTTGAGAAAAGTATCAATATTGATCACCTTGACGACTGAATCTTTTCCTGGGCGCCGCTTCCAAAATATGGTATTTTTGTTGTACACTTACATGAAACGCGAAGACCAGATGGGATTCCTCACGAAAAAGAGTGCTTCCGACAGGATCGCTCTGCGTAACTCTTGAACGTAATAACTATTAGTGTTTTAACGAGAAAAGCTGCTTAAGACCTTCAGGATGTCCATTCGGCTTCAATTCATCCGTGCGCCGTGCACAGTGGAAGCTCAGGTGCAAGACATCCGGGAAAAAAACCGTCCACAGAGCGCACATACGGTTTAAAAATTGACCATCCAGTCCATCTGTCCTTCTTTTAAACGATTGATTGGTTGACTGATATGTGGGGTTTAACGTCCCAAAACCACCATATGAGTATGCGAGACGCCGTAGTGGAGGGCTCCGGAAATTTTGACCACCTGGGGTTCTTTAACGTGCACCCAAATCTGAGCACAGGGGCCTACAACATTTCCGCCTACATCGGAAATGCAGCCGCCGCAACCGGGATTTGAACCCGCGACCTGCGGGTCAGCAGCCGAGTGCCTTAGCCACTAGACCATCGAGGCAGGGCGAAGACGGGAAAGATAGTACAAGTTGACGAGTTGACGAGTTCAACGTAGACGTTATGGGCTTTCGGACTTGGATTCGCTCCGTCATCAGCTTCCTTTTCGTGGACATGCGTGAAGATTTTTTCAACATATAGATACAGTTATGTACAGGCCAGCCCTCCAGCAAAAAGTCTGCAAGCCGCATACGTCCCGCGGGCCAACTGTTTAAGACCACTCTTCTAGAATATATCTCGAAACATATCAAATTTGTTGCTTCTGGACAAAAAAGTTAAGAAGACGCTATAGAGTTGCCTTGGAGAGTAACAAGCGATAGCGTATAGTTGGACCCTGTGCGCATGGTCTTCTCTTCTGCTAGCCTAGTTTCGGTTTGCGGTTGATTCCTCAACCTGGTCGCACAGAAACTTACGTTTGTGTGTTTTACAATTGCTGTTTGAAACTATCCTAGAATGCCTACTGCATGTTTCTAGTAATGTGCCCGCTTGGCCAAAACTATTTCTTTTGCGATTTGTGAAGGCCCCACTGCGCGTCGGTCCATGGCAACAGGCGAGACTATGCAGCTGTTCACTTAGTTGATTATTTTGATGATGATGACGATCAAATAGGTCGAAGCGTATTGTAATCAGTGGCTCTTTAAAACGCCCACTCGTTGTGCGATTCACACGTCCTAACTTCCGGCATGGTTCTACCCCATATTTCTGGTGTTAATGAGACTTCTACCATTACATTGAATTCACGTCGGGTTTTTGTTTGGTTGGTTCTTTATTTTGGAAGGCATTTCATGCAATGGCACGCTCTTATGGTATAACACCTACTTACAACGCAGCATACCAGGGTTCAATTCTAGCCTGAAGGAAAACATTTCAATAATTTATTCTTATTTTCTTCTTCTAATATTTCAGTCATGAACATTTTTCGTCGCAACCAAACACCCTGACACCGACACTGACGCTAACACTCAATTTTCGGCGCTTAAGACCTTTTAACAATCTCGCGCTAAAAAGTCGATGTTCCGTCGTTCATTGTTGCTCCAAGACTGTTAGTACGTTTCGAGTGTATGTGAAAATTTGTGGCTTCACTAAGAAGCTGTCTCTTGTACACATTTTGCATTGATATTTCTCGAACGCTCTCCGGAAAGACGGGCTATCTTAACATTTGTACCACTTACATATGAACTATCGTTATACAAAAACTTTCATTTGTGATTACTACATGAAGCAGACATTAATAATTTCTGTAGAAGTATCTATAGCTTGAAACTTATTTTACAAATTAGGCGCATTGTCTCACGCGTCTCATTTTCCGACGAGGAGGTGGAATGCACCACGGGAAAAAATCCGCACGCATAAGTGGAGTTGTGGCGATAACAAACGACGGAGATGACTGACAAAGTCTGGATAACCATTCGTCCTCACCCTCTTGTCAATATTACCCTAAGTCTATGTGACAAAATTTTCATTGGAGAATACGTTTCCCAACAGGTATCTTGTGGTCATAGGCGTGCGTTGGAATCGCGTTCAGATGGGGGGGGGGGGGGGGGGGCAAAAGTTCACCACAGCCCCCCCTCCCTAAATATGGGATACTGACGCAGTTTTGTATTAGCGAATTTTGCTGCAAATTTACTATCAGCGACTTCTTACAACGTTACCACAATTTTTTTCTTTTTTTTCGCGACGTTCAAATAAAAAATTGGCCCCCTATCTGCATGTTTCACTGCAAATGTCGTCGAATGACAATAGTCTTGCGCCTGAACAGAGTAAACAAAACGTTTATTTGATGTTCTGCATGAGCAAATTGGTGATTTGTATTCTGGAGGCACTACGTTGGAGAGTCTCGATCCGTGCAGTGAAGGCGAACGAGCGCATCGAGGCACGCTAGGCACGAGCGCTATCTCGCAATTGTCTTCGAAAACGAAGGAGGGCCTTCGCGCCTGTCTAGGAGGCGATAAGGTGTAGAACGCAAAGCGACGGGCAGGTTCCACCAGCATGTCGTCTTAGCAGAGCGTTGGAAACACTTCCCTTTTTGAGCTTCGCGTTGCATTATCAGTGCAGCATGATAAACGCTACGGTACTGAGAAATATTTATGTATGTCTTCTCTAGAATAAAGACACAAATACAAGGAAGGAATGAAAATAGGGAGGAAAAGAACAGCAGGGAGGTTGACCAGCCTATAGGCAGCCGGTTTGCTACCCTGCGCTTGGGAGGGGGATGTGGGAGATGAAAGAGAGGAGCAGAGAGATAAGGGGGATAAACACAGCACATTCGGCAGCACACGCACGCACACTCAGTCATAGTCCGGACTTGTCTTTCGCGGTGTGTGACATTGCTGTTACAGCCGCTTG